TCTCCTGAGGCATAAACAGGGGGTTTCAGAAGTCCTTCAGATCCTGGGTCCCTATGACTACAAAGTCTAACCCGCAGAAGTTTTTGTTCTGAAGCTGTTGGCTACTGTGGCAACAGAGGAACCAAATTGTAGCCATAGTATATAAGTAGAAAAAGGGAATAAAAAAACAAAGGATCCATCCCCTTTGTTTTAGTTGGTTTTTGTGTCGATATGACCATGTGTTTACATGACAAAAACAACTAGAGGAAGGAAAGTTTATTTTTGGCTCACATTTTCAGAGGTCTTAATCTGTAGAGAGCTGGTTCTCTTGCTCTGGGCCCAACCTAAGCTAGCACATCAGGGAGGAAGATCCCAGAGGACAAAAACTGCTCAGGCAATGGTGGGGTCAAGAAGCTGAGAGAGCCAGGCATGGTGGTGCACACCTATAATCCCAGCAACCTGGGAGGCTGAGGCAGGAGGATTGCAAGTTCAAAGCCAGCCTCAGCAACTTAGTGAAGCCCTAAGCAATTTAGTGAGGCCCTGTCTCCAAAAATAAAAAGTTCTGGGATGTGACTCAGTGTAAAGTACCCCTGGGTTCAATTTCCCAATACTCCCTCCCCTTCAATAAAAAGAAGCTGAGAGAGAGAGGAAGGGGCTGCAGGATGAACAACTCTGCCAGGGCATGCGTACAGTGACACACCTCATCCAGCCATATCCCACTTGCTTACAGATACCACCCAGGGAGTCCATTCAAACTAGGATGGACTGATTAGATTGCAGCTCTCATAAAGTACTCTTTTCCACCTCTGAATAGTTTTGTATAACAGGAGCTTCTGGGGGACATCTCATATCCATACCCTAATATCTACCCCTGTTCCCAAATAGCTCATGTCCTTCTTACAGTACAAAATGCATTCAGTTCATCTCCAAGAGTCCCATAGACTTAATGCCTCTGGCACTACCCTAAAGTTCAGTCTACATCCAATATCTTCTCTGAGATTCAAGGCAAACTCTCAGATGTCAGCCCCTGTAAAAAATCCAAAACGGATTACATTATATCCAATATATAGTGTCACAAAATAAACATTGCCATTTGAAAAGGGAGGAATAAGGGCATAGGTAGAAGAGTTGGGGCCAAAGCAAGACTGAAACCCCACTGGGCAAACAGGTCCCTTAATTCCACATAGAGCATCTAGCATGCTTGGATACAAAATGATATTTTCAAAGGACTTGGGCAGCACTGCCCCTTTGTCCTTGCTGGTTTCACTGCAAATGGGCTCTCTTTAACCTGGGTCTCTGCAGCCCCCGGGTTTTCTTGGCAGACCATCCACGTGGTTGGCATCTCTTAATTCATAGGGTCTTCATTCCAGTTTCAGCTTCACATTTACAACTTCATGAATCAGCCTCCTGAACGTAGCCTGCAGGGAATCCAACCCTGCAACATTTTGCCTTGCTTCCCAGGCATTCCTTTGAAATCTCAGTGGAAGCCTCCATGACCCCTTAACTCAAGTATTTTGAATTCCAGTAGAACCAACATCATGTGGAAGACACTAAGGTCTGCTGCCAGCTCCTGCTCCCTGGGATCAGGCCTGCAGAGGCCTCTAAGTTACTGCAGGGCTTGAGCGTGTTTAAACACTTCCTAAGCCCCCTGTATTAGCAAGTCACTCCCACAGTCTCAAAGGAATTTCATTTTCTGTAGCCTGGAACAGGTAGCAAGTGCAGTCTTACAAAGTCCTGAGATGCCTTATAGGCATCCTGCTGTCTCTGTGCACAGTACTTAGCATCTCATTAAGCACTATAATCTCTCCAACAAGCACACTACCTTGGCCCCAGGTTTACATGCACCATTCTGGCCAAGTGGAAGTTTTTAAACTCCTTTAGCTCTGCTTTCTGTTCATGATTTTCACAGAACCTGGCTAAACACAACCTACAATATCCATGCCACCAATCAAATGCTATGCTGTCTTAAACTTTTATCCACAGGATTCATTAGCCCCTTACTTTTAAATTCAGCTTCACACAAATCTCACAGCAAAAATAGCCAAGTTCTTTGCCAGAATATACCATGAGTATCCCCTAGTCCAATTACCAGTTGAGTCCTAATATCCCTCTGAAATCTCATGTGCAACAGACGCCATTCCTGTTGGAATTCTGGTCTTCTGAACTCCCACCAGAATCACCCATTAAGTTCTGCTTACAATGCTCTACAGCTTTTCTAGTTTGCATCTCTTAACTTTTTCAAATTATATCCTGCCAACCATTTCCAAAGGCTTCTGAACTATATGGTCAAGTTAGTCACAGAACAACTCCATTTATTGGTACCAATTTTACTTTCAATCACCTTTTGTATCACCATAACCAAAACACCCAACAAGAACAACTTGGAGAAGGAAAAGTTTATTTGGCTCATGGCTTCAGAGGTCTCGGTCTCTAGATGACTGATTCCATTGCTCTGGGTCCAAGGTGAGGCAGCACAACATGGGGAAAGGGCCCAGTGGAGAAAAGCTACTCAGCGGATGGCAGGGTCAGGAATCAGAGAGAGAGGGAAGGGCTGCAGGAACAACAACCATTACAGGGCATTCCTCCAGTGACCTCTCTTCTCTAGCCATACCTCACTGCTTGCAGTTGCCACCCAGTGAGTCCGGTCATACTGACGGATTACATACTCTCATAATGTATTCCTTTCATCTCTGAATATCTTTGCATTAACAGAAGCTTTTGGAAACACCTCATATTCAAACCGTAACACCCTTTAGCCCTCTGAAACCTATGTTGTAAGGGAACCAAAGTGAAAACTTTACCCAGCTAGGCAGGATAGAGTCTCATTTTCGGTTTATATGGAAGTGAGACTATCTGTACAATATTCATGTGAGCACCATTTTATCAATGAAAAATCATTTGGACCAGATGTTAAACTAAAGGACAAACCTCTGGGTTTCATGTGAGATAAACATACTTGGGTTGATTTGGTTTTCTGTATATGGTCTTTTAATTAGTCATTTGATGCTAATTTCCCCAGGGAGTAGGTTATAAATAATTATTACCTTTGTATCACAACTAACCCTGTTGAAGTCTTGTAAAAAATTGCCTATGTATTGATTGTTTCATTCAGTCTTGAAAGCCACCCTTTCTTCTAGGATTGTAGGTATGAACTTCATTTTATCATTTGTTGAATTCCCCCAAGGTCTTTAGTCAGGCTATTGCTGGTTAATTATTTGTTTTCAAGCATATAAAGCATATAGCCTTTCTTATTTTTTTATTTACAAGGTCAGCATACTTCTGTCTGAATATGACAGTGGTTCATGCAAAACCAAATACAGGAAATATTCTACTTCACTTTTACAGTAGTTTCTGTATTTTTGAAAACTTTTGGAAAAAATCCCACAACAATGTTTCTACCAGTTGAGTGCCTATCAAACTTCAAGTCCTGCAACCTACCACTTCTACCAACATCAAATCCATTTTTAACTTGTTATTGCTTCATATGAAATAAAGTCTTCCTCACAGAGTTTTTGGAATGTTTAGACATTATATATGTGGTATGCTGTGTACATGTTTTATTTTCATTCCAAACCAAGTCCCTCCTCTGTGTTGCAATGGTAGGACCTCTCTGGGGAAGCTGTTTTATTTTTTTGTAAAGTTTCAGGCAGACTTGTTTCCACCACCGATGGAGTGTGAGAATCATGTGCATTTAATAGTTATACTTCTGATTATCTGATTGTTTTCTGCACTTGTCTGTAGCCTCCATGAGTCCAAGGTGGATCTATTTGTTCTAGATATTGCCTGTATTTGCCAGCTTGGTGACTGATCAGTGACCCCTCCCCCTGAATTTGGTGGTCATAGTTAAGAAGTTCCCAGAGTTGGCATCGTTTCTCAGTGTCAGAGAGGAAATCAGAGGCCATAGATAAAAATAGTTGGAAGCCAACAGTTGTTCTCCCTTTGGCTGCATTCTAAACTTGACAGGGAGAATCCCCTTGGTGGAAAGAGTTTTCTACCACCCCACTCGAAGGAGGAGGAGGGGGGGGGAGGAGGAAAAGGAGGAGGTAGGCAGGGGGTGGGGAAGGAGGAGAAGTTGTTTGAGGAGAGGAATGGGGAGGATGTAGAATATCCCCAGGAAACAAGAAACCACAGACCACACCACAGTTGGCATATTATCTTTCTTTACAAAAAAAAAAAAAAGCAAAAACCTAATAGTAAAATACTTAAAATGCTTTGTTTCTCTATGGGACTGTAAAGAAAGGGTGGAGGTGGAAGTGAGTGGTAGAAATGCTCCAGGTTGACTATCTAGAAGGATCCCAACGTATAGCAGCAGACAGGGTAGCAGCAACCTGCTCTCAGATTAACCCATTCAGAGAAAATGAAGTAGCCAGTGTTTTTCTTATATTTGGAAAAACAGAAAGATGCTGTACATTATCACAAGGGTAAGTAAAAAATGAATGTGAATAAGAGCAGGAAAACTGAATGTCTATTACAAATAATAATTCACTTCATTTCCATTTGAAGGGACTTGAAGAAAAGCATAATGGGCCCAGGAAGCTTAGTCTGGGGTGTGGTGACATAGAAGTTTGATGTCTGCCTGTGACATCACAGAGTTCCCACTAATTTATATACCTGCTGGACAGAACATCCTGTTCCTGTTCTCCCTCCCACCTTTAAATGATTTGCCAGTTCAGTTCTTTGCATCTCTGTTCAACCTCCTCTTTGGGATAAAGCCTGTTCTAAGTAAAATTAAGGTGTGGTAGGTTGCCCACCTCTGGCTAGCTCTGCGAATGGGTATTGTTTTGAGTGTGTGTACAGAGGTCTCCATTCATTCAGGAATCACTTGTACATATTTCTTGGAAGAAAATAAATTATATAAAATAGGATAAAACACTGTTAGAAGGGAGGAGAGGAGAGAAAAAGTCATGATACTATCTAAAACCTCCCAGAATGAATTTCGGTTGTCTAGGCAACATACATACATTCTGGGCTAAGATGTTATGATGAAAGAAGATGATGACATGGTTAATAAGAACATTTGTTTATTGAAAAAACATAAAACCATGGGGGCTATGAACTATGTGAGTCTATAGGGTGTCCTAACTGAGGGATTCTTCAGGGTGAATTATCTTGCTTCTACAGAAATATCTCTTTAATACATAAAACCATGAACTGTCTGAATCTATAGGGTGTCTTAAATGAGGGATTCTTCAGGTTGAACTTTCTTGCTTCTACGGAAATGTCTCTTGGGTGCCCGCTCACCAGGGATCTGGTTTGCCCTCTCAGCGTTCCTTCTCCCCTGAACACAGGGAAAAAAATGCTTCCTGAACCATTTGCCAATGGATCGGAAATTCAGACAATTTGTAGTCTCCGTGTCGGTAGGAATCTCTGTCTCCACTGGTTGCTTCGGTGACCCTGAAGGATCCTTTTCAGGGCAACTCTCCTGGCTTGTTATCTGCCAAGAGAAAATGGATGAATTAGATCTAGGTAATGCCAGCAGCAATGAAGTCATTATTTACTCATTTATGGAAATCTAATTTATTTTTTACCAAGAATAGCCTAACTGTAAATGCAAAGTTTCAGTACTCATTAATACTTAAAACACACACACACACACTTACTTGTATGATCATTAGTCCTTCTCTTTGCTCCTTCCCACTCTTGCCTCCCCCCTCAGTGCTCCTTGGCATTTTCCCTACATCTCTTTCCTGGCTCCTTTCCTTACTGTAGTCTCTCTCCCATTGCTTATCTCCTCAGACACTGGGGTCCACATCTGCTTCACATGAGGTACCATGACTCTATGCTGGCTAACCTGACCCCCCACCGGGCCTATTTCTTGCTCTGCAGTGATGCGGCTCGGTGCTCACCTCAGGATTTTCTTCTTCATCAAGCCTAGAAGGTACTTTTGGAAACTGGTCGCTGTGTTCTTTGTCTGGTGCTTCCCACTCTAATATATCCTCAGAACTTTCATTTTCTTCAATACTGTCCATACTTACATGGAATGGAGTGCCGGTGGACAGCTGGACATCTTCAGTGGCTTCACTGTCATATTTTTCATCTTCTAGAAGTTCCTTAAGTTTCTGTGATACATCAGAGAGTTTGGAGATAGTTTGTTTTACCTTCTCCTTCTGGTTTTTATCTAACTTTTTGATTTCTTCCTTTAGTTCCAACGTAATTGGTGAGTTTTCGTCGTTAGAGCCTGTAACAGTATCGAAGATCAGAGTAATGAGTAGTTTGCATAGCTTCTCCGTGTTCAGATTTTCATCCTTTTTTCCTAAGAACTCATTCTCCTGGTTTTTGTTGTCTTCACGGTCAAGGTTTAGAGCATCCAATAATTTGGCGATATTTTGTTTGCAGATTTTCTCTGGCTTGTCCAAATCTTGATCACTTATCTCAGTGGGGATACTTAAATTTTCAGTCTCCAATGACCCATGGACAGGCGGGCAGTAGTGGGAGGAAGAGCTAGATGAAATGACGCCTTCGTAGGGCGCTATGCCCTCATAGGCAATGTTGTTGTTTTCAGAAGCAGTGCCATTATCATAGGCAGTAGCAATCTCAGGGGCTTCGGCAGCCTCACTAGCAGTGGTGTTTTCATAAGCAATGCCGTTGTCATAAGCAACAACGTTGTCATAGGCAACAACATTGTCATCGGTGACAATGTTCTCATAGCCAATGCTGTCCTCCAAGGCTAAATAGTGTTCAGAGGTGCTTGGGTCTGATTTAGAATCAGAAATTTTGTCCTCTTTTTCATCATATTTATTAGTAGAGGATGAGTCATCCATGTTGTTTAAGGTATCAAAAACCGTCTCCACAAACTCAGGAAACTTCAAAAGAGAAACATTAATAGGTGATATTGGTAAGACAGTCATGTAATTTGGCAAGAATTCCCATTCAGAACTATCCCACTAAGGCAGAAGCACATCCTATGTTTGCAGTCTCCAGTTAAGGGCAGAAGAGACAGGCCTTTCTCTTTCTAAACTTATGGTATAAGAACCCTCTGTACTGATCATCTCCATCTGATACCTCTCATATTTTTTCTTATTACACTTCAAAGAATTCCTATCCTAAAAGATGGTTGTATATAATTTAAACAATTCTGGAAAGCAGGAAGAAGGAAATCACTGCCCCTACGATCTCACCTCATCCAGAGATAATGATAACCATCAATAAAAGAGTTCTTTTTCTCTATATATACATACATATACAGAAATTAGGTCATGGCACAGCCTAAAAGAAGCACACATGGCTATTCTGTAATTCTTAACTACTTTCTCATTAATTACTCTTAGGTGACCACCATTAATGACCATTATTTAGCTGTCAATGACCCTTAGAGTATTAAAACCATTAACAATGGTTGTATTAATGACAGTAAACCCCCTTATCCACAAATCTCTATCTCTCTTTTTGTAGTCTTATAGGTTGGATTATTGGACCAAAGATCACAACTACATTAAAGTCTTATAATCATTGATTCTAAGTATCTTTCTAGAAAGAGTACAGCTATTTAAATGCCTGTCCTCCCATCATCTGATGGCTTCTTTAGATTAGCATTTTCCATGATCCCCTGGCAAGTAAGTGGGGAAAAGCACACGTATACAACCGTTCTCTCTCCCCCTTTCTCTCTCATCCTCTCTCTCTCAATTTCTCTCTCCTCTCAATTTGTCTCTCCTCTCAATTTCTCTTTTCTCTCTCTCTCTCTCTCACACACACACATACACACACACACATTGCAGTCTGTCACACCCAGCTCTGAGGGTTTCCACACGAAACAGATGCTGCAAACTCCAGAGGCACGAACGAGGGACGTCTGAACTCGTTCAGGTCCTTGGTTCAAGTGGCTAAGAAGCAGCACAACTATGAGAAATCTATGTTCTGAGACAGTTGGCTACCATGGCAACAGAAGAACCATATAATAACAAGAAATGTATAAGGAGGAAAAGGGGATATAAAAATCAAAGGACCCCTCCTCTTGTTGTCATAAGTTTTTGTGTTGCTGTGACCAAAATATCCAATGAGAACAACTTAAAGGAGGGAAAGTTTAATTTGGGCTCAGGTTTTCAGAGGTCTCAGTCCATAGACAACATACACAACAACTCCCTTGTTCTGGGCCCAAGATGAGGCAGCACATCATGGGGAAGGTCCCAGAGGAGGAAAGCTGCTCATCCATCCCATGGTGTGGTCAAGAAACTGAGATAGAGGAAGGGGCTGCAGGATGAGTAACACTCCCAGGGCACTCCCCCAGTGACCCAACTCCTCCAGCCATGTTCCACCTGCTTACAGATACCACCGAGTGAGCCCATTCAAACTAGGATGAACTTATTAGGTTACGGCTCTCATAATTTACTCTTTTCACCTCTGAATATTCTCCTTAACAGGAGCTTCGGGGGGCCATCTCACATCCAAAGCATATACAAGGTCCATCCTTATACCTGTATATTTTCATATTGTCTACTAAATTTGTAAATATTTACAAATATGCTCACACAATTTTTTAAATTTTTAACAATATATATTATATATATTTTCAGTTGTAGATGGACACAATATCTTTTTATTTATTTTTATGTGGTGCTGAGTATTGAACCCAATACCTCACATGTGTGAGGCAAGTGCTCTACCACTGAGCTACAACCCCAGCCCTCACACAGTTTTTATAAAGAAGTTAACGTCCATTAAAAGTAGCTCTCACTGCATTAATCCAGCTTTTAAATATAGGAAAAACACATTGTAAAAAAATAAAAACTTAATATTTAAAACTATTATATACAGGATTTGGCTATATCACTTGCAGGGCTCTATGCAAATTGAAAATGCAGAGCTCCTTTTTAAAAAAGTTATTAAGAATTTTGTCAGGGATAGCAGAGCATTAAGCCAAGCATAGCCCCCCTTTTTTTATCAGTGCAAAATATTTGATTCATATTTTTGAAAATAGGTAATTATACACAAAAAATATGGACTTCCAGTGTAACTCTCCCAGTCTCCTCCTGCAGAGGCAGTTATTGCTGTCAGTATTTATGTGGCTTTCCAGAGCTGGTCCATATCCATTTGCAGGTATATATATTTACAGTTTTTTGAAACAATTAGCACATATTACATACTTACACAAATTGTCTTACATGGATTGATTTTTAGTTTAGCATTTAGAGTTTATCTTTTATGACTTCCACATTTTTAATGTTTTTATTAGTGCATTATAGCTATATATAATAGTAGGGTTCATTCTGAAGTAATCACACATGCGGGGAATATAATTTCTCCATTTCTGTTCCCAGTACCTCCTCCCTCATTCCTCTTCATGCTGCCCACCTCCCCATTCTCCACTGCAAAGGTCCCTTTAAGAGTAGGCCATTTGCAAAACCCCAAAACAAACAAACAAACAAACAAAAAACAGCCTGGCTTCTATAAAATGTTAGATTATTTGGTTGAAAAGTTTGAAGAAAATATTTTTATCATGACTAAGTAACTGCACCTTCAAGATCCTTTCATCTGAAAAACTATATAATTCTTAGTAACTCCTACATGCAAGCTTTACCCTTTACACCACATTTTTCTCTTACTCCTTCTCCCCTCCCACCCCTCCTTTTTTTTTCCTTTTTTTTTTTTTAGACAGGGTCCCACTAAATTGCCCAGGCTGGTCTCAAACCGGTGATCCTCCTGTCTCAGCTTCCCAAGTACCTATGATTACAAGCATGCACCACCACATCTGAGACAGGGTCTCACTAAGTGGTGCAGATAGCTTTGAACTTTCTATCATCCTGTCTCAGCCTTCCAAGTAGTTGGGATTCATGCTTTATCCTTTATACTGCATAAGATAGATATTATAGCCTATTTATAGTCTTACAAATGAAATTTTAATTTTTAGTATAGAATAAAATTTACTATACTTGATTTACTATACTATACTGGGGAAAATAATAAAAAGTATTTTTTACTCCTCTAGCTCTGGTCATATCTATCCTCTTTAGACTTAAAGAAAGATAAAAAACAAAAAGAAATCATAACAAAGTAGAATAGGGATATAGTTCTATTTTTTTTTTTTCAGTACTGGAGATTGAACCCAGGAGCACTCAGCCACTGAGCCACATACCTAGCCCTTTTTTGTATTTAATTTAGAGACAGGGTCTCACTGAGCTGCTTAGCATCTCACTAAATTGCTGAAATTGGCTTTGACTTGAGATCCTCCTGCCTCAGCCTCCTGAGCTACTGGGATTACAGGCCTGTACCACTATATCTGGTGAATCTAGGTCTCTTAACATCTTGCTTATAAATTGAGAATTCTCTGAATATGATCATACTCTTTTTGCCACTAGATTTATATGCACTTATGTACTAAAATATACAAATTTGATAGAGAAAAAGAGGCTATTGCATTGACCCTGAGTTTAATTCCAGTGGCCACCATTTATTCTATGTCTTCTGAAATGTATCTCACTTCATAACAACCAGGACAAGGAAGATATTACTGTTAACCTTTTCCTTGAAACTGAAGCTCAGAGAAGTTAGATGAATTTGCCTGAGATTGCATTCACACCCCACATCCATCTTATTAAAAGGGCCATGCTTCCAATCTTTAAAATGAGGAGAGGAAACACCATGTGAAGACAGAGGCAGGTGTTGGTCTAATGTTTCCACAAGTCAGGGATACTAAAGGTTGCTGGCAAGTATAGAAGTTAGGAAAGAAACATACAACAGATTCTCCCTTAGAAATTTCAGAAGGAACTAACCCTTTGGACACCTGGAATTTGGATTTCTAGGTACCAGTACTGTGAGACAATAAGTTTATGTCCTTCTAAGTCACCTAGTCTGTGGTACTTTGTTATAATCCTAAAAAACTAATATTCCATGCTTCTACTTTAGAGCAATAATGAGATGGTAAGAGATCATAAAAGATGAGGATGCTAGTTAATACAGATACTTATCCATCTCATGCCATTTATCCCCCCACGAACACACATATGTACTGAATGGTTCCCATGACACATTTAATGCTCATAGCTACAATACTGTGAGACACATGCATTCCCCCATGTTCTAATGGTTGTGTGCTTACCAAGTAGTTGGGATTCATGCTTTATTCTTTATACTGCATAAGATAGATATTATTACCAAGAATCAGTTGTGTTTATTCCCAGTTGTTCTTGCTATAATAATTTTGTAACTTGCTTAATAAAAAACAGGGGTTCTATGAGGCCAATATCACCCTGATCCCAAAACCAGTCAAAGACACATCAAAGAAAGAAAACTGCAGACCAATATCTCTAATGAACATAGATGCAAAGATTCTCAATAAAATTCTAGCAAATCAAATACAAAAACATATCAAAAAGATTGTGCACCATGATCAAGTGGGATTCAACTCAGGGATGCAAGGTTGGTTCAACATACGGAAATCAATAAATGTAATTCATCACATCAATAGACTTAAAGATAAGAATCATATGATCATCTCAATAGATGCAGAAAAATCATTTGACAAAATATAGCACCCCTTTATATTCAAAACACTAGAAAAACTAGGGATAATAGGAACATATCTCAACATCGTAAAGGCTATCTATGCTAAGCCTCAGGCCACCATCATTCTAAATAGAGAAAAATTGAAGGCATTCCCTCTAAAACCTGGAACAAGACAGGGATGCCCCCCCTATCACCACTTCTATTCAATATAGTTCTTGAAACACTGGCCAGAGGAATTAGGCAGACAAATGAAATCAAAGTAATATATATAGGAAAAGAAGAACTTAAATTAGCAATATTTGCTAATGATGATATGATTCTACACCTAGAAGACCCAAAAACTCTCCCAGAAAACTTCTAGAACTAGTAAATGAATGCAGAAAAGTAATAGGATATAAAATCAACACCCATAAATTAAAGGCATTTCTGTATATCAGTGACAAAGCTGCTGAGAGGGAAATGAAAAAAACTACCCCATTCACAATAGCCCCTCCCCCCAAAAAAGATACTCAGGAATCAACTTAACAAAAGAGGTGAAAGATCTATATAATGAAAACTACAGAACCCTAAATAGAGAAATCCAATAAGTCCTTAGAAGATGGGAATATCTACCTTGTTCTTGGATAGGCAGAATTAATATTATCAAAATGACCATACTACCAAAAGCATTATACAGATTTAATGCAATTCCAATCAAAATCCCTATGACATTCCTCATAGAAATAGAAAAAGCAATGATGAAATTCATCTGGAAAAATAAGAGACTCAGAAGAACTAAAGCAATCCTAAGCAGGAAGAGTGAAGCAGGTGGCATCACTGTACCAGACCTTAAACTATACTACAGAGCAATAGTAACAAAAACAGCATAGTATTGGCAACAAAACAGACTGGTAGACCAATGGTATAGAATAGAGAACACAGAGTCTAACCCACAAAATTACAATTATCTTATATTAGACAAAGGTGCCAAAAACATGCACTGGAGAAAAGATAGCCTCTTCAACAAATGGTGCTGGGAAAACTGGAAATCCATATACAACAAAATAAAATTAAACCCCTATTTCTCACCATGCACAAAACTTAAAATGGATCAAGGACCTAGGAATTAGACCAGAGACTCTATGTCTAATAGAAGAAAAAGTAGGCCCTAATCTTCATCATGTGGGATTAGGCCCCAACTTCCTTAATAAGACTCCTATAGTGTAAGAATTAAACCAAGAATCAATAAATGGGATGGAATCAAACTAAAAAGTTTCTTCTCAGCAAAGAAACAATCTGTGAGGTGAACAGAGAGCCCAAATCCTGGGAGCAAATTTTTTCCCCTCACACGTCAGATAGAGCAGTAATCTTTAGGATATATAAAGAACTCAAAAACCAAAAAACAAATAACCCAATCAACAAATGGGCCAAGGACCTGAACAGACACTTCTCAGAAGAGGATATGCAATCAATCAACAAATATATGAAAAAATGCTCATCATCTCTAGCAATCAGAGAAATGCAAATCAAAACTACTCTAAGATATCATTTCACTCCAGTCAGAACGGCAGCTATTATGAAGATAAAGAACAATAAATGTTGGAGAGGATGTGGGGAAAGGGTATACTCATACATTTCTGGTGGGACTGAAAATTGGTACAGCCAATATGGAAAGCAATATGGAGATTTCCTTGGAAATCTGGAAATGGAACCACCATTTGACCCAGCTATCCCTCTCCCCGGACTATACTCAATGGACTTAAAAACAGTATACTACAGGGACACAGCCACATCAATGTTTATAGCAGCACAATTCACAATAGCTAAACTTTGGAGCCAACCTAGATGCCCTTCAGTGTATGAATGGATAAAAAAAATGTGATATATATATATATATATATATAGCATTAAAAGAATAAATCATAGAAGATAATGCTAAGTGAAGTTAGCCAATCCCCCCAAAAAACAAATGCTGAATGTTTTCTCTGATATAAGGAGGCTGACTCATAGTGGGGTAGGGAGGGGGAGCATAGGAGGATTAGATAAATTCTAGATAGGGAAGAGGGGAGGGAGGGAAAGAGGGGGCAGGGGATTAGCAAGGGCTGTGGAATGTGATGGACATCATTATCCAAAGTACATATATGAAGACTCGAATTGGGTGTTAACATACTTTATATATAAACTGAGATATGAAAAATTGTGGTATATATGTGTAATAAGAATTGTAATGCAAAAAAAAAGTAAATATATAAAGGCATGAATTGGCATGAATATACTCTATACAATGATATGAAAAAATTGTACTTATATGTGTAATAAGAATTGTAAAGCATTCCACTGTCATGTATTTAAAAAAATAAAATCAATAAAACAAAAAAAAAATAAAAAATACTGGATAATTTAATTAAGGCTCTAGTATTAATCTGTCCTAGAGTAGGAAGGATTAGGTCATTAAAAGTACACTATGGCTAGGGTTGTGGCTCAGTGGTAGAGCACTCACCTAGCACACACAAGGCCCTGGGTTCAATCCTCAGCACCACATTAGAAAAACAAATAAATGAATAAAGGTATTGTGTAAAACTACAACAACAACAACAAAAAACCCCAAATATTAAAAAAAAAAAAAGTATGCTATGTTCTATGTTCAAGTGAGTTCTTGCTTTGTAATTCTAATGCTATCTGACAAACTAACCAAATCATTAAGAGTTATAGGCTATACACACACAGTGCTCACAGCATGCCAAATCTGCAGGAAGCTATACTTTTAACTACAAGAGGATAACGTCGCCCTCCCCTTATCACAAATCACTTGCACTACTTGAAGACTTTAATAAAAGTGTTGCAAGCAGCCATTGCAAATTGGGGCCCGGGAGTAGATGGCCTGACTCCTATTTTGAGAATCCCATCCAGAATACATCTGCCCCGTGTGAGTCACAATTCCCCAATCCTTTATGGGCCTTATTCGCAATTGTTTTTGAACTAACTGACTTGATTTTTAAAAATCGTTTCTCTCTTTTTATTACTTTTTTCTATTTGGGGACATCTCCCTGCACTTCAGACTGGGTCTTTGAGTGTGCAGGCCCTGGAGCCAGCATCCCTTTCCCGGGGGCGGGGCCAGGCTGGCGGGAAGGCGTTCCGTAGCCCAGATCCGCCCCTTGGGGGCGAGGAAGACTTTTTTCCTCCTTTCGCTTTCCGTTCTCGCAGCATGGCGGCCCCCGTGGTCCGGCTGTGGCTCGGCCTTCAGCCGGGGGTTAGGACTTTGAGTACCCTCTCCGCCGCCGTGTCCCCGGCCACTCACGCTCGGAGACCTGGCCTGCGTGAGTGTCTGCCGAGTTGCCTCCAGGTTTGGGGGGAGGTGAAAGGACGGAACACCGGCCCGACCAGGCCGTAGGGTCCCGGGCAGGCCGATTTTCCTCTGCTGGCCTCTTCCCTGCGGGGCCACTAGGAAGGCCGCAGGTGTGGGTCTGTCTTCTGCCCCCGGGTTTCCTGGCTGCCCGCTTCTGCGTGTTCTGGACACTAGCCCAGAAAGCTTGCTCTCTTTCGTGGTGACCGGCATTTTCTGGTGTTCCTGCCCCCCGGGCCACGGCCCGGGTCTCCCTCTGGTTACTAGTGCTCAATGATAAGGTTTGTTGGCAGTGTTTGAACCTTGGAGTTTCCCTAATATTTAAAAGGTATACTGCTGTGCCAGAAGAAAGTACAACTGGGAATCCCAGGTCACCAAATGGGATGACCTTCATTCCAACAGAGATTATAGGGATGCTTGATAGCGTTCTTGACAGAGAAAGATAGTGGAAAAGACAAATTTGTTGACAGAGAAATACTGTGTAGTGTATTTCTCATACTTATCATAGCACAGTGTCAGGCCATCCCGTCTCACTTCTAAGGGCTTTTCGTGTCTTTAAAGTAAATTGTAAATTCCTTAATGCATCAATAGTGGCTCCTCATAGCCTTAACACTGTTTATTTAAAATTTTTTATTCTCTGAATACTTAACTTCTACTGTATGCTAGATAGTGCCCTAGATATTGGGGATGCAGCAAAGTCCCTGAGCTAGTGAAGTTTACATCCTGTTGGGAAAGTCTGAGTAAAAAAAAAAAAAAGTAAACCAGCTATATAAAATTCAAGTATTATAGATGAATGGATAAAAAAAATGTGGCATATATACACAATGGAATAGTACTCAGCAATAAAAGAGAATAAAATGATGGTATTTGCAGGTAAGTGGATGCCGTTGGAGAATATAATGCTAAGTGAAGTTAGCCTATCTCCAAAAACCAAATGCTGAATGTTTTCTCTGATATAAGGAGGCTGATTTATAGTGGGGTAGGGAGGGGAAGCCCCAGAGGAATAGACGAACTCTATATAGGGCCGAGGGGAAGGGAGGGGGCATGGGGTTTGAAATGATGGTGGAATGTGATGGACATTATTATCCAAAGTACATTTATGAAGATATGAATTGGTGTGAATATACTTTGTATACAGCCACAGATATGAAAAATTGTGCTCTGTATGTGTAATGAGAATTGTAATGCATTCCACCGTCATATATAAGTTTAAAAATTAATTTAAAAATGTCAAGTGTTTACTGTTAGGAAGAAAAATAAAGCAGAATATTGAGAATGATGTATTGGTGGAGTAGTGGCTATAGGGTAGGATGAGATGGTCAGGAAAGACTTCTGAGGAAATAAATCTTAAACAGAGCCTAGAGACATACAGTATTTGGGATAAGACCATTGTCGGCCTAGGAAACTACAAGTGAAAGGCCCACAAGTAAGAATAAGCTTAGGGATGTGATCAAGGACAGAAAGAAGGCCAACTTTGACCTAGAACTAGTGAGTAAATGGGAGAGTGGTAGGACAAGATGTCAGAGGTAATGGACTGCTCTTATAAATGGTTTGGAAGCATTTAGTTTTGGTATTTGGCTTGAATTTTATTAAAAGCTGGGGATCATGTTGGATAGCTGCTGGCTTTGAACAGGGAAGTGATGTGATTTGCACTTTTAAAAGGCCCTGGCTGCTGAATGGATAAAAATGGAGAATTAATTTTGGAGGGTAATAGTGGAAGCCAGAGACTACTGTTACAGTAGTCTGAATGTCTTGATGGTGTCTTGAGGTTATAGGAAAAAGGTGGTGTAGTTGGATTTAGGATTTTGAAGTTTGGGCTGATAGGATTTATTGATTTGTTGTGGTCCTTGAGGAGAGGTCTCAAGGAAGCTTGTTAAGATTTTTGTCCTGAGCAATTGGATGAATTGCAATACCATTTAAATGGATTGGGAAGACTGGAAGAAGTAAGTGAAGAACTCTGCCAAGCATTTATTATAATTGAGACATCCATTAAATATCTTTAGCCTCTTTTTTACTCTTCAGTTCTCTCACTGTTCTCTTACATTTTCAGCCACATTGAATTTGAATTTGTTTACTTACATTGATTTTCCAAATTTTTTTCCAAATATTTTTTCTTACCTGTTGGGTGCTTGGGCTACATCCTACTCATCCTTCAAGTTTTGGCTTAAAGTTTACTTCCTCTGGGAGGTTTCCCACAACCATATTAGTTACTGTTCCCAGGAGAGACAGAACTGGTAGGATGAATGGAAAGGTAGATAAGTAGATGAAGGGATTTATTAAGGGAATTGGCTCAGGATCAAGGAGGCCGAGAAGTCCCTTAACAGACATCTACAAGCTGGCAACACAGGGATGTCAGTAGAGTGGCTCAGTCCAAGTCTGAGAAGAAAAGTATTCCAACTCCAGGAGAGTTAAAAAACAAATTCACCTTTCCTCTGCCTTTCAATTTTATCCTTCCCCTCAATGGGGGGGATTAAGAATGGAATTTATCCACTCAATCTACTGACTCACACACTAATCTCCACTGGAAATACCCTCACAGACACACCCAGAAATAATGCTTTACCAGCCATCAAGTTATCTCTTAATCCAGTCAAGTTGGTACCTCAAATTAACAAAAATGCTGGCCTTAGTGGCACATGCCTGTGATCCTGGGTAGTTGAGAGACTGAGACAGGAAAATCTCAAAAGTGTGAAGCTAGCCTGCTCAATTTAGTGAGAACCTGCCTCCAAATTTAAAACAGAGCTGGGGACAGCTCAATGGTAGAGTGCTTGTCTACATGCATGAGACTCTATGTTCCATACCTGGTAACTAACACACACACACACACACAAACAAACAACAACAACTAGTTGACTAGATTCAGTTCTTTGCTGTATGTATCCATAATAGTACACTGTTTATTGAAATCACTTGCTAAAATTCTGCCTTATTTGACAGATTCTACATTCTGTGAAAGGAAGGACTGTCTCTTTTGTTCTTTGCTGACTTCCTAGTTTCTGGTACACAGCAGCACTTAAATTTATCAATGAGTGAATGGTAAAGTATTGTGAGATGAAATGAAATATGTCAGATGAAGAAATGGAGTGAATAGGGATGGGGCAGGAGCCAGGAAGATGGGAGGCACATTATAAGTAAAGAACAGAAAGTTGAGAGAAATCCTAAAGGGTCTGGTACTTGAAGTTCATTGTAGCTGCAGAACCTTGTAAGGGAAAGTGATCAAATTATGAAGAGTCATACTTTTGTCACCTTAACTTTTTGCTCTTTAGTTTTCTTGAATATAATAGACCTTTAAGAAGGATAATAATAGTACTTGTGTTTGTTGTAATGAGTAAGATTAAATGAAATAATGAAAATCATTTAGTACAGTGTCTTCATGTGAAAATGCTCAATAAATATAGCTGTTCTAGGATAGCAAAACATTCATTTAGAGAAACATAATGTAAGATTTTAAAAGGTATTTTCTGTTTGAAGTAATCCACATTCTTCTATAATCATGTGATTGGTAGGAATAGCCACTTTTGTTATTGGTGTTAATTATTGTATCACTGGCTTTTCTAATATATAATAGAGAAGGAAAAACTGAAGGGCTGACATTTTGATAGAATAGAGTGATTCCAAATATGAGCAAGTATATTTATAATTAGGACATTTCAAACCAATCATCTTTAAATATTCAGAATACTTATTTTTATACTTATAATTAGGACATTTAAAACCAATTATCAGGCTGGGGATGTGGCTCAAGCGGTAGTGTGCTCGCCTGGCATGCGTGCGGCCCGGGTTCGATCCTCAGCACCACATACAAAGATGTTGTGTCCGCCGAAAACTAAAAAATAAATATTAAAAAATTCTCTCTCTCTCTTAAAAAAAAAACAATTATCTTTAAATATTCAGAATATTTATTTCTAACTAGGTATTTTAACTTGGGAAAGTAAGTTTATTTTACTGTGAACCTTAAAATTTACTGAAAAATATTTCTTTAGATGATGAGTTCACTGTATCAGCAATCAAAATAAACTTTATGTAACTGTGAACTTTTAAAGACTATTTGTTTTTGTTAAGATGATTTTAATTTGAACTTAAAACAGATTGTCATTTCATGCTTATGTTACTAAGTATTGGTTTTTTTTTTTTTTTTGAGGGGGGGGGGTCTTAACCAGGGATTGAACTCAGGGTCACTCAACTACTGAACCACATCCCCAGCCCTATTTTGTATTTTATTTAGAGACAGGGTCTCACTGAGTTGCTTAGGCCTTGCTAAATTGCTGAGGCTGGTTTTGAATTCTTGATCCTCCTGCCTTAGCCTCCCGAGCTTCTGGGATTACAGGCATGCACCATCATGTCCGGCACTAAATATCTAAAATTGTGTTAGCAATAAGGGATAATGATGACTATTATGTTATCTTTTAGGTACAATAGAAAGAACATCCAAAAGTGAAAGGCAGCTGAGAAGAAAGGTAAAACAATTTATATACTCTACTATACACTATTTTAATGTTTTCTGAAATTCTAAAGAGAGGCAGATGCTCATCACAAGGCAGAAGGGTTCTGTTAGAGAAGGCTTCACAAAGTCATGTTTATTGGGTGATTGCCACAGTCCCAGTAGGGGTTGTTAATCTTTGACCTTTTTTGCCCTGTACCCATAAAAATGGGTCATCTTTAAGAGGTATACTCACTCATATACTCCCAGGAAACAGAATATAGAACTATTTTTTATGATGCCCTTGTCAGTCATGTAGCTTGGGTGTATGCATTCATCCAACCAGTCAGTCTTACCCTGTAGGTATCTCTATGGAGGAATCCAAATTATAAGGTCAGTTGATGAGCTTGGAGTCAGAACAAAAGCACATTAGCTGGAAGTTAAGTGGCACCAAATTGTAATCATCTAGGCGGTAGTTTTTGTAGGAATATTACCTGCTTCTATGACATACACTATACTGGTTTTGATGTTGCTTAGATGGACATTGCTGCATTTTGCCACCTTAAAGCCTACTTTTGTATGCTAGCCATCCTTCTACCATTAAAAAAATATGTATTGTGTGTGTTTTAATATATGTATTTTAAAACACATACATACGTGTGTGTGCGTGTGTGTGTGTTAATATGATTGACTAAGCTATCAAGTAGTTTTTCTCTGGGCTCAGGAGACATATAATTTCTCATTATGTATTTATTCAATCTGTTTAGCCCTAATTTACTTATTTCCAAGTTCCAAGTACTTATTTTTTTATTTCCAAGTTCTTAGTGTTCCCTTATATACTGACTTCCATGAAAGAAATATTGTATGATATATAAATAAATATACTGCATAAATAAAATGTAAAACAACTGCTGAAAGTCTAATTAAATAAATCAATTTTTAGTGAAGGAAATGTGACATTAAAAGAGATCTTTGCCAGAGAGTTTGAAGAAATAATTCAGAGATTATTTAAGTAGGTTTTTCATTTGAACAGCAATAGATTTGTTGGAGGCCAGATTTTATATAGGTTGCAATTCCACTTTTATTTCTCATAATTACTGCTTATGGTTTAAAATTAAAGAATATGTTTTAAAATTTTAAGTATTTTATGTTTCTTAGGCACTGCCTCCTAGGACAGAGAAAATGGCTGTTGACCAGGACTGGCCTAGTGTTTATCCTGTTGCAGCACCATTTAAACCCTCCACAGTACCTCTACCTATTCGAATGGGTTATCCAGTAAACAAAGGAGTGCCTATGGCAAAGGAGGGAAATCTGGAACTTTTAAAGGTAAGATTAACTGCTGGTATATTGGCTCAGACATACCTAAACAAATGCTGATCTCCCCTCTATTCCTACCCACCTTCAAGGTTCAGTATATAGCAGCATATTGTATTTTAATATAAATTTTCTTTCCAGGTGATAATATTGTACTTTGATCATTCACGATACAAAAGATTCAAAGAATCCTAAGCCTTTGAGAATGTAATTAATCAGTCTGTGTCTTTTCTTGTAGCCTCTAAGAATAGTGAAATAAGCTAATTTGAGATTGAGAATCAGGATGTGAAGATTCCTTTTTTTCTTTTTTTTTTAATTAATTAATTATTTATTTATTTTGCATTACAATTCTTAATACACCATTATACAATAATTTATCATATCTCTGATTATATATAAGGTATGTTGACACCAAATTCACATCTTCATACATGTATTTTGTATAATGATGAGGGTCTCCTTTCACCATCCATAAGATTCCATTTTTAAAAGAGGAATTTTAAAACTTTCTTTCCAGAAAGGTAGAATATTGTTTAATATTATTGTGATAGTCCACCAACTTTACCTGATTTATTGCTTAAAACAAAATAGTTCACTTTAAAAGCTTCATTTGATAGCATCTATAATGATTTATGTACTATAGATTTTTTTAAAAAGGAAAACATAAATGCTTAGTCTGAGAGTACATATCTTAGATGATTTCCTTTTAACATACAATGGAAGTTATAGTAGAAAAGGAACTATTTTCCACTAGATGAGAGTCTTCTTTCAGAATCAAAAAAGTTTATTTAAAAGGTGATGTTAAAAAGTGAAAAAGGGGGTCTGCTTAATGACAGAGCACTTCCCTAGCATGAGTGAGGCACTGGGTTCAATCCTTAGCACCACATAAAAATGAAACAAATAAAATAAAGGCATGCTGTCCATCTACAACTATAAAAAACAAAACAAAACAAAAAACTTAAAGTGAAAAAGGAAGAGGAAGAAGCAGTACTCTGCTACTGGACAAAGTGTAAATCAAATTTGAAAATAGGAATACTTCAAGAGACACAAGAAAGCAAACATTGAGGAAAACAAACCTTTTCTTCAAATGAAGAGAAAGAGAACTTAATTGAAAGGGAAGGCCTTTGGAAAATGTCACTGGGTGGGAGAGAACAGCAGTATATTTATAATAATGTTGATGATTGTGAATGGTATTTTAATAAATATAAAAATCCAAACATTTAATGCATGGCATCTATTCAGAAAGTCACAGTATCATTGAATGCACTTAACTAAGCTAATGTGTTAAAGTGCTTAGAACATTGCCTATGTAAATCCATGTAAACGTTAGCTATTATTTTTTCTTTTTATGAACTTGAGGTATGCATTTTCATGTTTCAAAAATATAAACTGAAAGTAGTGGTGAGAGGCTATAATACCACTGCTTGCGGGGCCTGAGGCAAGAAGATCACGATTTCAAGTCCAGCTTGTACAAATAGCAAGACCCTGTCTCAAAAAAATAAAAGTATAGTAAATGAAGCCACCCAGCCCATAATACCAATGGTCAGTGCCTATTTTAATATTGTAAAAGAACTACCAGATTTTATATGCTGCATAGTTTATTGGCCTATGATTTAGCTTTATGAGGAAAATTACATTTTTTAATGTTTTTATTACATTTAACTACCGGACCTATAGTTCTAGCTCTTTAGGAGACTGAGACAAAAATCTAACTTAAGCCTACAAGTTCAAGACCACCTTGGGCAACCTAGAGAGACATTGTCTCAAAAAAAAAAAAGTTGGGCTGGGGATGTGGCTCAAGCGGTGGCGCACTTGCCTGGCATGCATGCGGCGCTGGGTTCGATCCTCAACACCACATACAAATAAAGATGTGTCCGCTGAAAACTAAAAAATAAATATTAAGGGATTCTCTCTCTCTCTCTCTCTCTCTCTCTCTCTCTCTCTCTCTCTCTCTCTCTCTCTCAAAAAAAAAAAAAAAAAAAAAAAAAAGCTGTAATTTATTGTTTAAAATTTTCTATTTTAGATTCCCAATTTTCTGCATTTGACTCCTGTAGCAATTAAAAAACACTGTGAAGCTCTTAAAGGTAAGTAATATGTTTTCAAATAAACTTTATGTTGACTTTGAACAACATTTAAAAATTTAAAGACAGATTTTTAAAAATTGATAATCTCAGGTCTGATGAGATTCAAAATACTTAGAATAGTGCCTGCATAAGTCCATGTAAACATTAGCGATTATATTCTGAGTGATTGTCAGTTTCTTCTTCTTGTTGTTTTTTAATTTTTTAGTTATTGATGGACTTTTGTTTTATTTATTTATTTATATGCAGTGCTAAGAATTAAACCCAGTGTCTTACACACGCTAGGTAAGCACTCTGCCACAGAGCTACAACCCCAGCCCAGTTTCTTCTTTTTTAATGAAGGATTTTTAAGTTGTTTTCAGTGAATTATTAGATATCAAATCTGCAACTTTTTTTCCCTCACCACTCTAGACAGTAACAAAGAGAAATTGAACCATAATCCTTGCTCACATGTTTTGAACTTACTGTTGAGTTGTTAAGTCACATACATTAAAAAAATTGAAGAAAATATTACAGTTTTGCCAATAAATACAAATCAATATGATTTAAACTGAGGATAGTAAAGAAGAATGCTAAGTATCACAATAGTCAGTGGGTTCAGTAATGGGATACAACACAGGGAACAGCTATTTTGATGAAATTGTTAAGATTTTTAAAAAATTAGAAGTGATATATGCATATGGTGAATCAAAAACAAGTCTTATGTTTTCTTTTCCATACCAAGCCCATTATTCTAGAAATGTTCTCTTTTATTCATTATTTAGTTCTAGTGATTACTTTCAGAGAGTATTTATTTATACTTATGTTTATAACAAGTACTTTTTATGTTGTGTGTATATAGAATAAATAATAAAAGTAATCACCAGAATGTGATTAACACCTCCAGTTCTGGATTTATTAATTTTTGATCAATATCTGTTGATTCGTAGGCATAAACATAGATTTCACCCACTTACACTAATTACTACTTCTCCTTACATGCATAAAGGAAAAGACAAATTTTTGTTCATGGTTCTATGTGTTTTCCTAATTATGTATACATTCCAAATTAATTTTGATCTAATTTGCATTGGACTATATATAGGATAAGCGCATTTTGAATTGTTCCTGGTTCATAGCTATTAGTGATTGATTTTGTAGTTTAACTCAAGAGTTAGTACCTTTGGATAAAGTCTTAATGTATTAATGCTGACTAAAAAATGTATAGCTGGCACAGTAGTCCACTCCTGTAATCCCAGGTACCTGGGAGGCTGAGGAATGAGGATTGCAAGTTCAAGGCTAGCCTTGGCAGCTTAACAAGACCCCGTCTCAAAACAAAAAATAAAAAAAGGGCTGGGAATGTTGCTTAGTGGTAGAGTGTGCCTGGGTTCAATACCTAGTACTATAAAAAAGTAAAATTTAAAATAGAATTTTTTTTTAAAGTATTGTATAAATGTTCAGCATACTTGTTAAGGCTTTTCAGGGAGAAAAAAAGAAACCCAGAAACATTTTATAGGTAAGTTGTTTATGTTGGAAGGAAATATAGGATAATGAACATAATTATGATTCAATCTGAGCTTTTGGGAGGACATTACATTAAAAAATGTAAGGGAAAAGGTATCAAAGGGTCCTAAATCAGAGGAATAGTAATTTTCTCTTAAAATGAGGATAGAAAAACCTATTTTATTTAATGTGGTCCTTTGCTTTGGGATAATGCAATGGCCTTTTCGGGTGTCTGTCTGTTTTTATTTGTGCTTGGAATTGAACTAAAATTGATGACTATTCCAAATTTTTGTGCCTTTTGGCACAAATCAGTATCACTTTTTGATCCATTGTAATGTCAGTTAACAAGTGCATTACTCTACACTGTGATAAATTTCAATTTTCTTCTTTTTAAGCACTATTTTTAAATGTGTGTTTATAATCTAGTATTTGCTTATTTTAATGAAATATTTCTAAAATTCCTAATTTTTAAACCAAAGGCTTTCATATGGCACATTTAGAAGAGTAGCATTTCTAAAAAATATTTTTAGTTGTAGATGGACACAATATCTTTATGTATTTTTATGTGGTGCCAAGGGTTAAACGCAGTGTCTTACATGTGCTACGCAAGGAGCTACATCCCCAGCCCACAGCATTCTCTTTTACAGTACTTAAATAAGTTTTTTTAAATCTTTGCTTAATTGTGCCTTTACACTTCTGCAAGCCTCTGGATTTAGATTCCATCTTCCAAAGAACTCAAAATCTTTCAAATATTCTCAGTTCTCTTTCAAATAGGGAAAATCTGAAGTGCAGAAAAGTTAGGTAATTTGCCAGAAATTTAATAATCAGTGGTAGAAGTTGAATAAAAACCAAGGTCTTTTATTCATGTCTAGTCCATTGCTCACCTATCGGATGAGTAAAGGCTAACAGGAGTCTATTATATACTCTCCAGTTGGCTGTGTTTTTTTTTTAGACACATAATTTAGGTAATTGAATTTAAAAACTATAATTATCATCTGGTGATTGAGATGACTTATTCGCAGTTTAAAAGAAAAGAAAAAGATTCAGTACAAACCCAAGAACTCATAATTCTCCAAAGTAGTCTCTTATAAAGTGCTTGGCAGTAATATATCTTATGGTACAGGATGTTGGAATTTGTTCATGATGGGATTGAAATCTAAACTCAAAAGTCTTGCTCTGTTCATTTTTTTAAAATGTCAAATGTTCTTAATTCCAAAATTATGTTTCCCTTCAAGATAACTGAATATTTATCTTTTGAACAGGATGTTTAAAGAATGATGTGAGCTATGCTTAAATTGTGAGCATGTTTTGAGTCACAGATATCAGAGAATGTTTATAACTCAGAGTGAAATTTTACTGACTCTGATTTTAAAATTAAGCCTAAAGGGAATTAAATATAGTACTTCATATTAGAAAATTGTTATGTTGGGAATATAGTGTTAGCAAACTATCTCTTACTGTCCCTTAAATTATCACAGAGGAGCTCCTACATCCACGTATGTTTATGACCAGCCTTTCTTGCAGTTGGGCTTTGTTGGAGAAAGCCATGAATCTGTGAGGTCTAACTTGTTTGGCCCAAGAAACCAGTTACTTAAAGTAAGGGAATTTAAGGAATGAGAAGGGGAGCCTAATAGACTCAGAATTTTTCATCTCAAGCCAGAAGCCCTCTATCACACTAACTCCATAGGAATAGGACAGTATGAAGTCAGCTATTGATACTAATGGGAGGCTGAAAGGCAGTGCTCTTCTCCTCATTGACCTGACATAATACCCCTGTGCTCTGGAAATCAACAGGAAGCCATGGTCACAGTTACCATGCTTGGAACTTCCTTTTGTGGCCTAGGTCTCAGACCCAGTCCCACCTCTACTCTGGGCTGTTTTGACCAAATATATGAAGACAAAGCTGTTTCTCTTTTCATTTAGCCCCATTGGCACACAGAAGTCATGTGGAAGAAACATGAGTTATTGTTAGGATTCGTATAAGGATGACCTAGGCTTTTATGCCTGTTCAAGTTGAGGCTTTAGTCAGTTCCATTTCTGGAGAATTATTGACTACACCTTGCTTTCCTCTTAGAACTTTTCTAGAGCCTCTTTCAATTCCTTTCAGCTGATCTTTTATAACCTTCATTTTGGAGTGAGTTAACATTATCCATTGCTTTTCACAAACAGTAATGCTGTGGGCACTGTGAACAGTTTGTTTTTAATTAATAAGGAAGAATTAAATTGTCCCATAAAAGGTATATGTAGAGCCATAATACATTTCAATTTTATTTATTTATTTAAATCTTGGGGCTGGGAATTGAACCTCATGCATGATAAGCACATACTCTACCACAGAAGTTACTGCTCCACCAAAACCTGAGGGTTCTCTTTTAACTGAACACACTGTTCTCCACCAAACCTAATTTATCCAAATCATTCCTATAATTCCTCCTTAGGGCCAGGCATGGTGGCACATGCCTCTAATACCAACAGTCAGCTCTGAGGCAGGAGGATTATAAGCACAAGGCCAGCCTGAGCAACTTAGTAAGATCTTGACTCAAGAAAGTAAAAAGATTTGGAGATGTATCTCAGAGATAGAGCACTCCTGGGTTTAATCTCCAGTAAAAAACTGCCAAAAAAGTACCCTATTTGTACTGAAGAAGAAAAGGGATAAGGAATGATGATGTGTGTGTAAAAAAAATCTGTGTTGTCATTTCATGTGACCTGAGAGTTATATAAATAATTTGGTATTGTCATTACACATTACAATGAGGAATTATTTGCAGAACTATAACTTTTTAAATTCTCAGATTTCTGTACTGAATGGCCAGCTGCACTAGACAGTGATGAGAAATGTGAGAAGCATTTTCCGATTGAAATTGACACAGCTGATTATGTTTCATCAGGACCATCTATTCGAAACCCTAAAGCTCGAGTAGTAACCTTAAGGGTAAGAGATTTGTTAAAAAATAAGAATCATTAGAATACTGTATTTAAAAATACATTTTGTAATATGATTACAAAATTAATACATATTTGTCATGGAAAATACAGAAGTTTTAAATTATAGAATAAAATTGTCTCTAATTCTCCCATTCAAAAATAATAATTATTAATAAGTAGCTCATTTTAGTATAAATACAGGTACCCTTTGTATATTTTGATGGGATGATACCATGTATGTTGTAGTAATCTGTTCTTTTTCACTAATTAAGAATTAAGCAAAAAATAATAATAATTCCTAGTGATTTATTTTTATTTTTTATTTATATATGAGAGTGGAATGCATTACAATTCTTATGTATATAGAGCACAATTTTTCATACATCTCTGATTGTATACATAGTGTATTCACACCAATTCGTGTCTTCATACATGTACTTTGAATAGTAATGATTATCACATTCCACCATCATAATAACCCCATGCCCTCTCCCTTCCCCTCCAACCCCTCTGCCCTATCTAGAGTTCATCTATTCCTCCCATGCTTCCACTCCCTATCCCACTGTGAATAATTCCCAATATTTTTAAGCATTCTTTAATTTTATAGTTAATGGCTACATAATGTATATGTGAACATCTCTTATGTGCCTGGACAATTTTTTTTGAGGTTGGGATGCAGTGTGCTGTTTTGTTATTGTTGTTGTTGTTTTGTAGTGTTGGTATCAAATCCAGTGCTTTATGAATACTAAGCAAGTACTCTACCACTTGTGTTACATCCCCAACACCAATAATATTCTTTTATGGAAAAAGTTGTAATAAGTATCCTTAGAAACCAATATTTGTATATGTTCCAAATTATGCTCCCAAGATAATTTCCTAAAAGAAAAACTATCAGGGATGGGGTTGTAGTTCAGTGGTAGCATGCTTGCCTAGCATGTGTGAGTCACTGGATTTGATTCTCAGCACCGCATATAAATAAATTAAAAAAAATAAAGGTCTATGAACAACTAAAAAAAGTATTTTAAAAAAAGAAGATCAAGTCAAAAGAAGTAGCTCCTTTGAAGTTGTTTGATATAAATTGAAAAATTTCTGCTGAATATGTAAAAAATAAAACACTAGCAGATTGTGAGAAAGCCTATTTTCTTATACATTCTTGAATGTAGATATTATTACCCTTTCATTAACCTCTTTTCAGTTGCTCTAGACACCCGTCAACCACTAATCTTTCTGTCTCTATGAATTTGCTTATGCTTGACATTGAATAATAAAATATGTATTCTTTGGCTTAATGTAATGTTTTCAGTATGTTTTGTCTGTTCTAGCATGTGTCCTTTTTTACTCCTTTTTATTGCAAAATAATACTTTATTTTATGGATGTACCACATTTTATTTAGCAGTTTTCACAAGAATATAGATGTTGCTGTGTATTTTACATTACATCATAGGACACATAAGGTCTGGTTGTCTGATTTCTTAGTAGACTGAAAGTGAAATTGAGCACATGGTTAAGAGACTTAAAACCTGCGCATTCTATTGTGGAGTTGTTTTTGATTGTTTTGCTTTTCCCTTAAATGACTAACCTATGGGTGGATATATTCAATAAGTTTTAATCAAGTAAAATATTTTTTCCCCTGGTGGTAGTGAGGATCGAACCTAGGGATGCTGTACCCACTAAATGACATCCCCAGCCCTTTTTATTTTATTTTGAGACAGGATCTGCTAATTGCCCAGGCTGGCCTTGAACTTGAGATCCTCCTGCCTTGGCCTTCCAAGACACTGGAATCATAAGCATGTACCATGATGCCCAGCTTCATTATATTTTTTAAAATATATTTTTTTTTAGTTTTGGATGGACACAATACCTTTCCTTTCCTTTCCTTTCCTTCCTTCCTTCCTTCCTTCCTTCCTTCCTTCCTTCCTTCCTCCCTCCCTCCCTCCCTCCCTCCTTCCCTCCCTCCCTCCTTGAGGATTGAACTGAGGGCCTCATGCATGCTCAGCAAGCGCTGTACCGCTGAGCCACAACCCCAGCCCCCAGCTTCATTATTTTTGATGCTCAAAGTACATTCTAAACTTTCGCCAGTGGGTACTCTTTTAAGTTGGTTCCTTTTGTTCCAATTTATTAGCATTTGAGTTTGCTTGTATTCTAGTATAACACAGTGATCAAGGTGTATATTTCTTATTGTAGACTTGGAATCAGCCATTTCTCTAAGGAGCCCTGATACCTGTTAGTGTACAGTGGTATTTAGAAACCAAAATTGGTATGGTAGAAATTTTCAGTGGATTCTTTCAGAAGTTTTCCAGTAAATAATTGATAAGTCGGGGTTGGGATTGTGGCTCAGCGGTAGAGTGCTCGTCTAGCACATGTGAGGCCCTGGGTTCGATCCTCAGCACCACATAAAAGTGAATAAATAAAATAAAGGTATTGTGTCCAACTACTTCTAAAAAATAAATGTTAAAAAAATAATTGATAAGTCATGGTTAATTCCCCCTTTTAATTACATGTAGCTTTTTTTTTGGTCATTTGTATTAAAGAAAATTTCTAAAATAGTATTTATATTGTCTGTTATGCTGTTCTGTACATTAATGACTATGCCTTTAGTGTTTTGTCTCTTAAGCATAAGGTAGAATTTCAGCTTAATAGTCTTTGTTATATTAGAAATGTATCCTATTCCTAATTTATTAGCATTTTTGTAATGCTCTCCTTTGAATTCCTGAAACAGTGAATTATATCAATAGTTTTCCAATTACTGAAGCATTTCTGAACTCTAGGCATATCATTCTTTTACTCTGCTGCTGATTTGCCTTGCTAGTAATGTATTTAGGATAATTGTCCTTTCCAATATTGCTTTGGAGAAACATCAAATCACCCCTCTTACCTGGAGCATACTACATGGTATTACATTTCCAAATTTTTGCCCTAGTAACTTGTAATTTAGTATTTGAAGTCTTGGTAAACACAGCAGTCATGGGGCAGTTACTTCATATATATTTTTTAAATTAAACTTTGTATTTTAGAATAGTTTTAAAATTTACAGAAAGTTTCGTGAAGACTACAGAAGATTCTCATATTTTCATTCTGAATTTTCTCCTTTTGGTAGCATTTTACATTATACTATGTTACATTTATCAGGGCTAATGATTTAATTTTTTTTTAATTTTTTTGGTATCAGGGATTGAACCTAGTTCTTTTTATATATTTTATTTAGAGACAGAGTCTTGCTGAGTTGTGTGAGTTCTCGCTAAGTTGCTGAGGCTTGCTTCAAGCTAAAGATTATCCTGCCTCAGCCTCTTGAGATGCTGGGATTACACGCATGCCTCACTGCATCCAGTTAATGATTTAATATTGATATAATATTCTTAAAGTCTATGCTTTATTTGAATTTGCCTAGCTTTTACCTGATGTTCTTTTTCTGTTTTAGAATGCCATTGAGGGTACCACTTTATATTTAGTCATCATGTCTTCTTGGACTCCTCTTATCTGTGATGTTCCTTAGACTTGTTTTTGATGACCTTAACAGTTTTTTTTGTTTTTCCATGCTGGAATTAAACCCAGAGTCTTATGCGTGCTAGTCAAGCACTCTACCACTGAGCTATACCCCAGTCCTAAAAGATATTTCGTTTTGTTTTGTTTTTGAGACTGGATCTTACTGTGTTTTTCAGGCTGGCCTCAAGTTCCTAGGCTCAAATGGTCCTCCTGTTCATCCTCCTGAGTTCTGGAACTCAGGTGTGAGAGAGACACTGTGTCTGACTTGACCTTGACAATTTTAAGAATTTTAATTATGTATTTTTTTAGAATGTCCTTCAACTTGTTATGTATTTTGAGGGGGAAAATCCCAGACATAAATTGCCATTATTATCACATTATATCAAAAGTACTGGCTGTTTACGTGATTGTTCACTGATGATGCTAACCTTGATTACCTGGCTGATGCTAATTAGCATTTGTCAGTTTCTCCACTATAAAATTACCTTTTTCCTGGGCTGGGGATATAGCTCAGTTGTTAGAGTGCTTGCCCTGCAGGCACAAGGCCCTAGGTTCAATTCCTATCACCACACACACACAAAAATTACCTTTTTCCTGTCCTTTCCAGGAAAGCAAAGTAACTAAAGTAACTTTCTCCTTGAGGGAGAAATACCACATTCATTGTTTGGAATTCTATGTGGAAAATTTGTCTGTTCTCCCATATATATGTATTTGTTCAACCATTTATGTCAGTATGGACTCATGGATATTTATTTGATACTCTTTTAATTGGCTTTTCTATTTCTTTGCCATACCTCCATCATCTGATTTTTAAACATTTTCTTATTATATGTCACTATAAAATACTCCAGACTCATCTCACATTTTCCCTGTCCTAGTCGAAGAATCAGCTATTACTCCAAATAGCCCTGACTAATGTACTTTTAATTCATCTGGAGGAGAACTGCCCATCTCTTTGAGGTACCTTTAAGAAACCTCAAAAAAAAAAAAAAAAAAAAAGGTTGTTTTTTTTTTTGTACTGTATGTAGCCTGTATCCTAGTAAGAACATATAGCAAAAATGTGTTAAATCTATTTTTGTATTAAGTGCTAACAGATAGATAATTGCCAGGATTTTCTGATGTAGCTGTGATTGATTTGTAATTTTTAAAGCATGGTTTCTTCAGTGTCAGAGATCAGGACCTTCTGCATGTTAGACAAGCACTTTTCCACTGAGTATACCCCTAACTCCTGATTAATAACTTTCTTTACTAGGTTTTGGTATCAGGGTCATGCTAAATATATAAGATGAATTTATGAAACAATAGAATTAAGCATGTGGAGTCTAGTTTGTCTCAATCAATACGGTGGGGTAAATATGATTTAAAGATATTCAGATTTTTAAATTCAGAGAAGGAAAGTGTTATGTTTTTCTCTATAGTCAGAGAAGTAGTTTAGAATTAAGAACTTTTGTTTAAGACTTTACTTTAAAGCACTGTCTTCTGTTTGTCTCGTTTATTCCTGACAAAGATCCTGTGAATGAAGTTGTACTGAGGAAACTGTCTCAGGGAGGTAAAATAATTTGATTGAAATCACGTAGCAAGTGGCAGTCCTAAAAATCAAACCGAGCTCTTTTCTCATGTGTAATACCAGAGTTTTTAAATCATACCATACTTGCATGTTGAGAAAATATCTCACATTTAAACCTTAAATTTATGTTGCTTCTTTTGTGTTAAAATATAGACATTTGAAGATAGACACATACAATCACAACCTCCTGTGATTTGAAATATCCATATTATTTTGGGGATAATATTGGTGGCACAATACCTGTTCTTTGAAAAATAGCAACTTGAAAACAAAAAGCTTAAGCATTGCTTTGAATTTTGATAAGGAAAGACAATTGAATGCCACTCCACCTTGCAATCAGTGTTAGTCCATGTAAGACTATAATTCTGCAGTGCCTTTGAGTGCTAGCAGGTGGCGTGAGTGTACTGCACACTATTTCTCAAGTATTTATGAGTTTCTGGCATTTAATGTATGTAGTTTTGAACATTAAAATGTCAATGTGAATATGAGTTTTAAGGTTGTTGTTAGCTGCTGTGTTTTTTGATATCTTATGGCAAAAAAGCTAAAACACATTTTAAAAATGCCTTAATGTATTGCTAAACATTATTATGATTTTATTGAAGGGAGTTTCAAAAGGACAGATCACTACATTCTTACTATCCTAATATAAACGCTATTCATTTTCTCTGTAGACTGTCTCTGTATATGTGCATATGCACATGTATTTGCATAATTATAATAATGTAGGTACATTTTCTTTTTTTTCTTGTAATTCTCCATCTTGTTATTAATCTGATTTTTCATAAAATGGGTTATTTATCTCTTAAGCTGTAAATCTAGTTGTTGATACATATTCTTTCCAGAAGACTGTGGTAATTCCTAGACCATTGCTAAAAACAAAATAGATATTTTTCTTGCATTAAAGATTTGCCTTTCAATGGGGAAAAATTGGCATATAAATAGGCTGCTATGGCATGGTGTCTTGAGGGAAGTGCAGGATTATTGAAGCTAGAGACAAGAACCAGATGGAATTTAAAAACGCTTAGCCTGTTTGCTTCTTCATGAACACTTTCTTAATGCTCTACATGAAGAATAATCTATGCTTGCTATGGTTTGGATAAGAGTTTGTCTCCCAAGGATTCTTGCATTGGTAGCCCCTCAGTGTGGCAGTCTTGGGAGGAGCCAGACCTTTAAGAAGTGGTGTCTAGTGGGAGGTCCTTTGGTAATTTTGGGGAGGGATTAAGGTAGTTCTAGAAGAGAATAAGGTCATTCTCAGTGTGAGTCCTTTACAAGAGTGAGTCTGACCCCTGAATTTTTTTCTGGCTTCCTGTCTTGCAATATGTTTTCCTTTTTTTATATGTCCTCCTACATTCTGATGCCAGTGCCTTGACCTCAAACCTCCACAACTGTGAGCTAAATAAATTTCTTTATAAAATTACTCAGTTTCAGATATTTCATATAATAATAAAAAATGGGTGAATACAATGCTTTACTTTATTTAACTGTATTATCATATCATACCTATTCATCTCTAGATACTTTTAGCTCATGCTATAATCTCTACAATTTAAAAAGTATGTTATTTTATTCCAGTATTTCCCAAAACATGTGTTAAGGAAGACTAATTCTGTGAATTATTCCTTGAAAATTGAAATCTGAGGTCAAATAAATTTGAGAATCATTTATATACCAAGCCTGTATTTTAAAGTCTCAAAATACTCCAAGAAATACATTTTTAAAATCCTGTTAATAAACTCAGCATTTCCTAAATGTAAAAAAAAAAAAAAAAAAAAAAATCTTAACAGGCTGTGTATTAACTTTTGGAAAACATTGAACTGAATTGTTTAAAATGTTTTGAGCTGGGCGCAGTGGCACATGCCTGTAATCCCAATGGCTCAGGAGGCTAAGGCAGGAGGATTGCAAGTTCAAAGCCAGCCTCAGCAACTTAGTGAACCCCTGAGCAACTTAGCAAGACCTTGTCTCAAAATAAAACATAAAAAGGTTGGGGATGTGTAGCTCAGTGATTAAAAGCTCCTGGATTCAATCCTTGGTATCAAAAAAAAAAAAAGTTTTGATCCTTCCCTGATGTAACATTCCAGCCTCTGAGACATCTGTAGCTTTAAAAAATGAATGTCCCTAAGATAGTTGCAGTGATATAGGTCTTATAATTGCATGGTAGAAATTTCTTAAAGCTATTATATTTTATCCATTTATTCTAGTGTCCAACTTTGATAATACTAACTGAGCTTAATTCTGTTTGTGCTTCTAATAAACATTGTAATTTGCCTTCTTTAGGACATGTCATTAATTCTTTCAGGAAGGTACACATGCTCAGAACTTTCAAAGAACTCCCAATAATATATTCTTTTTATTTTATTTCTTTTTCTTTCCACGAACAAGATCAGGCTTTATAGTGTATGCCACTGTAACTGTATAGAAAGTAGTTTGAAAAGATTTATGTTTTGTAGGTTTAATATCAATACAAATAACATTGCTACTTCTTTAAACAAATTATATGAAATTATTTTTTTCAAATAATTTTTTCTTTTACTTTTAAGGTGAAACTTTCCAGTTTGAATTTAGATGATCATGCAAAGAAGAAACTTATTAAACTTGTAGGAGAACGATACTGCAAGACCACAGATGTACTTACCATCAAAACAGATAGGTAAAGAAAGAAAAGTTGAGCAGACTGTGCACATGTGTTTTTTGTCCTCCAGCACTTCAGCAATGCTTTTAGTAACAAAGGGTTATTAGCAAAGTTGTTCAATTCCTATCTTTAATATCTTCACACTAGCCTACTTTTGTTATGTTGTTCCTGTATGCAGAGAGGACTGCTTAGCTAAATTATTGCTATTTTAATATTAATTTTTATATATCCATGCATATAAAACTTAAATTTTGAAGACAAAGTATGATTTGCTAGTGATTAATGCTTAAACAGGTAGTTTGTTTTTTTGTTTTCTTAATTGGCTTTATTTGTGATTCTGTAATCTGGCAACATCTCATTCCATAAAATAGAATACATGTTCCCGTAAATAGGTTTTTACAAAATGAAAGCATCACAAAGAGTCTTGTAGTTCAAAATTAAAATTATCAAATTGTACATGTGGAAATTTATCTAGGCATTTCTGGGAATAAGCAGAATTCCAGAGCCAGGATAGATATTTATAAGTCCAGTTATAGTTTATTATATATGAATTTATTAGTTTATGATTTTCAGTTGATTTAAAGAAAGGTTGTTGGTATATCTTTGCTAAATGGTTATTTTGTTATTAGAATTATACTTCAGTTGTTTCTAAATTATGTCAAAATATAAAAGACCTGTCTTTAGAGAAAAGTGAGTGTACAGGTCACCTTTCTCTCTGCCTAACCCAGTTTCAAAGCATTTGGAGGTATCAGAAACAATTTGGTGTTACATCATCAGTCTTGGTGATAGGAAGAGGGAACATGGCATACATAGAGATATAGTAATAGGGTAGAGGCAGAAAAGAAAGGAACCATGGTTTCTGATTATTTCCTTATGAGGGAAATAGATATGAAACATATTAGGAATATTCCTTTTACTCTTTTTAAAAATTGCAAAATAATGTTGAATTTTACTTTGTTCAACTTTAAAAATACCCTTTAAATGTTACTGTTTGAAACTCTGTAAATACCTGATAATGTTGCTTTTTTTCCAGTATCAATATATATGTTTTATGGTAATGCTTATATAGAATAGATAACTATTAAATAAACATAAAGGAAGAATGAACAGTGTAGTTAGTTAAGTCATTTGTCATTATATGGTTTTATTTTATATCTTAAGAAATTGGAAGAAATATTTTGTTTTTCTTTTATTAATTAACCTTAATACATGTGCTATCTCATGTATATGTAGAAGTTCTAACTAATTTTAGGATATTAGTTCTGTCTTAAATATAGCAGTAATAGTACAGAATTGTATATAGTGTAACTCATATTTAAAGAGAATCAGCTCTGGAGAAATCAACACTTGATTAACATCTATCATCTGCCTATTTGTTTATTTATTTATTTTAAGATAGAATCTTGGTGGGTTACCCAGTCTGGCTTTAAACTCCTGGACTCTAGCAATACTCCTACCTCAACCTCCCAAGTAGATGAGACTTTTTACACACCATTGCACCCAGCTTGTCTTAACTATTTTTAAAATGGTTCATTAGATATGCTTATGCCATTCAGCAGATTTTGACGTGGCGAAGGGGACTTCAGTTGGACACAGTCATATTAAAAATAGCATAAGCTGTTGTATACAAATAACTACATTAGTGACGAAAGCAGAGTTGAAAATAACACCAGTGTTCAGTATCCTTAAATAATGTTATACATAGAATGATATACACAGAATGTTCTTATTCTAAAAACAAAATTTTCTTAAAAGCAGAGAATTTCTAAAGATATTATCTTCTGTATATACTTTGCAAATCATTCTGTATACTAAGTTTCTAGAATTTTGACTTCTTCCTTCTTTCTCTTTTAAAGGTGCCCTTTAAAAAGACAGAATTATGATTATGCAATGTATCTACTAACAGTTTTATACCATGAATCTTGGGTAAGTGTATATGAATGTTTAATGATTTTTTTTTAGTGTAATTTAGATGACATTATCCTTTCAAAATACTCTTGTGTGGCAAGTACTTAATTGAATATTTTGTGGACCACCACAAAATATTATTATTCGATTATTCCATAATCGAAGCATGTATGGAATAGCATAGGTGGCTTCTCCTGATACCCAAAGCGAAGATCTTGAAGTAGTTTATCTAGTCCATCTCAGGCCCATATTAAAAAGTGCCTGAAATACTCTTGAAATGCAGAGTTTCTGACTTTTGCTAGAAAATCACAGTGTTTTGCTTTGCTGTTATGTTTTGTTTTGTGTTTGAGTGAAAGTTGTCTGTTATGGGAGAGTAATCATTTTTTGTATAACTTTAGAATTTATGATTTATCCTATTTTCCAAAACTTTGTAAAAAGGTATTTTAGGTTTATTAAAATTTTTAGTTAACATTTACTATCTGACTATTACACGTTAGGAACAGTTAAGAGCAATTAATTATTTAGATAGTATTAAAAGATGTCTTGTGGGGCTGTGGTTGTGGCTCAGTGGTAGAGTACTAGCTTAGAATGGGTGAGGCACTGGGTTCAATCCTCAGCACCACATAAAAAATAAAGGCATTGTGTCCACCTACAACTTAAAAAAGAAAAGTGGTCTTGTGTCTGAATTTATTCAGTTGTAATAGAAATATATATACATTTATGAAAAAGATTTTGCTATATTTGAGCATCAACTCATCTGATTTAATGTTAGAAACTAGAATTTTTTTAAAAAGCATTTTTAGTTGTAGATGGACAAAATGCCTTTATTTTATTTATGTATTTTTATGTGGTGGTAAGGATCAAACTTAGTGCCTCACATGTGCTAGGTAAGTGAACTATCACTAAGCTACAACCGCAGCCCACCAATATGTTTTGTGTTTAGGTAATTCAAAGTTTTAATTATTGTTGGGTATCCTAGCTACTGAAATAGGAGAACCACAAGTTCGAAGCCAGCCTTGGCAACTTAGCAAGACCTGTCTCAAAATAAAAAAGGGCTGGGGACACAGCTCAGTGGTAGGATTCCCTTGGATTCAACCCCCAGTACCACAATAAAAAAATAATTATTTTAAGAATGCATTCAAATTAAGTTAAATTTTTGTAGATTGCCCAACATAAGGAACTTAGGAGATTCGGTAGCATCTCATATTAGGAACATTTGAAGGACTAGAGCTAGCTACAGAAAGTCACTCTCTTTAGATGTTCAAAGAACTTCATATGAAGAAGAACTTAAATAATTTGTTTTTATGACTTAAAGATATAACTGGGTGGAAGCAATAGTAAGATTTCAATTCGTTAAATGAGAACCTTCCAAGAGAAACATCCATAGATGCTGGGGGCTACTTCGATGGGTAGAATATGTTCCATGTATTGGCCTTCTTCTCTAAGATATGGTAAAAGAAACATATTCCTGAGACAGGTAGCTGCATTAGATGGCTTTTGGGACTTCCTTCCAGCCTTCAGATACTGTGATTCTGAGAATACATGCAGCTGTTCTCTAAACTGTGAACAGCATGTTTATTGATGTTAATAATAAAACAGTTTTAAAAGAGAATGAGTGGCAAGTGGAAACAAAGAAAATTTTATTTCAAGGTTAGTAAAGAACAAAAAGTAGCTAGTTGCTCTTTTCTTCTTTTGCAGTTTTCTCATTTTCATAATTCAGCTGAATTTTCTAATTTCTGCTTCAGGAGCAATATGATAATAACAGTTAATCTCTCTTTCCTGTCAGTTGATTTTAGAAATCCCTTTGGCTTAAGATGATTAAGTTCCCTTCAGAACCAGCAACATGGCTGAATTAACTACAGTTGTATGGCTAGTGCTTAAAGAGTTAATAATAAACAATAAAAGCCAAACAGTTTTGAATTTTTCCAACAGTCTTTTTAAAATGAATTGCCCCAAAGGAAATGACAGGCATAAATAAATTCAGTGAACGTTGACTTACTGGATTCTTTCTGTGGTTCCATGACATAGAATCCAAACAAGCTTGTATTCTGGATTCATGCAAGAAGCCTTTGATCTTTAATGCTAATCACTTTGATGCCAGGATGGATAGCCACATATAACTGTCTTAAACAGATATAATTAAAGAATTCCTATATTAAAATTGGCTCATAGTCCTTTCTAAACAAGTACCATCAGTGAAGAAGCTTTAAGAGAATGCAGATGAGCCATGAAATTTTGCAGAGCTACTGGAACAGAATTTTTATTGAATCAAAATTCTTTTTTCCCTCACCAGCATGGAATTCATACTTGAAATTGATGTTACCACCTGGCATTTAATCCAGTATTTTAAAAGCCCCTGTTTAATCCATTGCTTTCTTTTTTATAGGCTAGCTTCTAAAGCATTTCATACTCAAATATGTGTATGCCTTGGCTTTTTAACCTTTCCATGGAGGTTACCTTTAAATAGCATTGAGAGGAAAGTAGTTGGAACCTTCTGAAGAAGGTTCATCTATACTTAAGCTTAAGGATGTTACTGTTGTATAATATTCAAAACAGTTTAACTATAGAAGTATCAAAAAGGGGATTCCAGGGTTGGGGATATAGCTCATTTGGTGGAGTGCTTGCCTAGAATTTACAATGCCCTGGGTTCAATTCCCAGCACCACCACCACCAAAAAAAAAAAAAAAAAGGACTGGATTCCAATGCCAGTTTCATTGCTTTCAACCTCTGAGGTTCAATTTTCTTTTAGAGAGTTTTTGGATAAATTAGAGAACACCTATGTAAGTGTGGAACAAATAATGGGTTCTCAGTAAATGGCTATTAATATTGTTAACAATACTAAAATGAAGAAACCTTTTTTCTTAGAATTTCAAATTCATTTATTTCTAATTTCAGTACATAGTTTACGATGACAGTTTACCCAATTAAAGTCATATATGTACCCTACAGTGTTTAAAATTTTAGAACATATATTCTACTCACAGTTTGACTTAATTTATAATAGTGAAACTTCCGAAATTAACTTTTATTGCATGATGTTTGTTAACCTAAACCTTCCAAAAGCAATTGGGTTAAGAAATGATTGAAAAAAGCATTTCCTAGAAGTCTTGCCAAAAGATAGAGTGAAACACAAACACAATAAAAAAAATAATCATTTTAAGAATGCATTCAAATTAAGTTAAATTTTTGTAGATTGTCCAACATAGGGAACTTAGGAGATTCAGTAGCATTTCATATTAGGAACATTTGAAGGACTAGAGCTAGCTGCAGAAAGTCACTCTCTTTAGACGTACCTACATTTACTCTGGAAGATGTAGAGCTCTGAAATCAAATTCCAAAGATTCTTCAGTGGTATTGATATTGAATTAGTACTAACAATTACTTTTTAAAATTTAAATTTTGGGCTGTCTTATTGGATTTCATGACAGACTTATTGTCAAAAATATATCTAGCTTTGTAATAGAGTGATTCTGAAGTTAGTTAACAAAAATTTCTAAGTTAGATAATTTTATACTTACTAATACAGGTCATTTTTAAATGGGATCTTACTGCAAATACTTCTGATAAAAGTAAAGTTGAAAGGAGCAGAGGCATTCAAGCCAGATTGAGTAAGCTCTACTGGGGAGTGTTCATGATACTTGTAATGGTACCTCCATCAAGTCTTGCCCCACAGACTCTAGGGATGATCCAACCTTAGCACAACTGTGAACTTGGAATGGATGTTCATTGAGAAGAAATTGGACCTGTGCCAGAAGTACTACCTGGGTGGGTTGACTTTCCTGTTTGTTCTCTGGAGCTGGTCAACATCTGCTTTTTCTAAGTCTTCCTTCCCTCCGCCTGCACTGAGCAGAGCTAAATCAAAAGTTAAGTCTGGGGCTTCCTTTTCTGGGTGATCATGCTCAACACCTGAATCACCATTTTCTAGATTTACCAGTTCTGCTGGGCCACACTATGCCCCTGATACCCCCTGCCAACTTCTGCACAGGACCTGCTCATTCTCAAAATGGGCTTCTCTTCTCTGAATTCACACTCAAGCCCCTAATACTTGTTCCCTTTTCCCATATTCTCTGCTGACATCCTCCAGCAAAGAATCTTGACTTAAAAAAATACTTTCGCAAAACCATAATCACCATTTAATTTTGAGTTCATTTTGATTGTATGTGTGTGCTGACATACACATGCATTGCCAGGTCCTATTAGAGAACACTTGAACAATGTTTGCTATGTTGTTTACTCTTTCTTATATTCAACAGCTGTTTAGTTCTTGTATACAGCCAGCCCTCCAAATCCATGGGTTTCACACCCATGGATTCAATCAATCTCAGATCAAAAATAGTCTTTTAAAAATTGCAGCTTTTGGGGACTAGGGTTGTGGCTCAGTGGTAGAATGCTTGCCTAGTGTATGCGAGGCTCTGGGTTCGATCTTCAGCACCACATAGAAATAAATAAATGAAAACAAAGGTATTGTGTCCAACTACAACTTAAAAAAATAATTTTAAAAAATCGTAGCTGTTGGGCTGGAGTTGTAGCTCAGTGGCATAATGTTTACCTAGTACATGTGAGGCACTGGGTTCAAGCTTCAGTACTACATAAAAATAAGTAAATAAAAGCATTGTGTCCATCTATAACTAAAAAATTTTTTTTTAAATGCAGCTGTTTTGAACATTAGCAGTCTTTTTTGTTGTTGTTATTCCCAAAATATTTGACAACTGTATATAATAACTGTTTACATAGCATTTACATTGAGGAAACTTTAACTTCTGCAGATTTAGGAATCTGCAGACTCCTGGAACCAATCCCCCATGGATTGGGACAACTATACAAGAAAAGGTGCTATAATCCGTAGGACTATCAAAATGAATGAGCCTTCACCCTTAGGCACCTTTATTTCTGGAGGGAAATTGATGGTTATAATACAGTCTGTTGAGCTGGATAGCAGAAATTAGGCATAGTGCTGTGAGAGATGCAGACCAGGATGAATTCTACCTGACAGCTTCAAAGGAGTGGTGACAATTTTG